AAAGTGAGCCCTCTGCAGTGGGCAGGACTAACGTTAGCCCGTCTGCAGCAGCCAGGGCTAACGTTAGCCCCTCTGCAGCGGCCAGGGCTAAAGTTAGCCCTCTGCAGTGGGCAGGACTAACGTTAGCCCGTCTGCAGCAGCCAGGGCTAACGTTAGCCCGTCTGCAGTGGCCAGGGCTAAAGTTAGCCCTCTGCAGCGGCCAGGGCTAAAGTTAGCCCTCTGCAGTGGGCAGGACTAACGTTAGCCCGTCTGCAGCAGCCAGGGCTAACGTTAGCCCGTCTGCAGTGGCCAGGGCTAAAGTTAGCCCTCTGCAGTGGCCAGGGCTGAGGTTAGCCCGTCTGCAGTGGCCAGGGCTAAAGTTAGCCCTCTGCAGCGGCCAGGGCTAAAGTTAGCCCATCTGCAGCGGCCAGGGCTAAAGTTAGCCCTCTGCAGCGGCCAGGGCTAACGTTAGCCTGTCTGCAGCGGCCAGGGCTAACGTTAGCCCGTCTGCAGCAGCCAGGGCTAACGTTAGCCCGTCTGCTGCACCCCTCTCTCTGCATAGCCGTGTGTGAAGGACCACTGGCTCTGATGGAGGTTTGATTGTTTTATTTGGCAAAACGTTAATTTGATTTGTGTTTATCTGACTGTGTTCATTATTATTCTGCCACCAAATGAAAAAAGTCATAATTTATTATTATCTATAGACTATTAATAGCAGGCGGTGAAATGCAGCTCCAGGCTAGCTTTGAATGTGGTGATGTCATCAGATCCATATCTATGCTGCGTGCTCCTGTTCTCCCGGAGTCCAGACTTTCCTGGGTTCTTCTCTAGAACAGACTTGGCGAGAACACGAGTCCATACTCGCGTTCTAGTGAATTGAGAATCGGCCTCAGTTTAATGTGCTTTTAGCGGTTCTCCTCTCTGTGTTTGTTACGTCGTTCTTCAGGGATCACTGGTTCAAATGCTTTTGAACATCTGCCTTAGAGGTATCAGTCTGTCAAAGAAACTAAAAGTTTTATTTGGGTTCTGACCGTTGGACCACATTAGAATTGGTGCAGTACCACCGCCTGGCACCTAGGAGTCACTGTTGCTACTCAGTGATGTTTTTGGTACCGCGCAACTAAAACTCCAGGTTTATTTACTGAAGCAGATAAAAATCTTTAAGGAACCTTTTGCTACCCTATTATTAATCCCCACAAAATAAAGTTTAAAATAAACATCTTAGTTAAAAAGTGCTCAGATTCTAATTAGATAAATTATGAAATTATTAATCATTTACAATTAATTGAAATATTTATCTAATGCATAATTTAGGTATTAATTAGACAATTCCATTGGAAAATTGACCATTAAACAATTAGATGTCCCCTTAGGTAATTAAAATAGATAAAAAAAAATGATTATTGAATATTTACATTTTATTTAAAATTAGTAAAAAAAAATTAATAACTGTACTTTATTTTTCTACCAATTATCCTGGCTGAACCAGTCCTATAGTTCAAGTGCTTTTAGGATCATCCTTCTGTAGCAGAACCGGGTTTCCATCTTTCATCCTCCTGCCTGAAAAGTTCTGGGTTCAGAACATTTAATGTGAAAATGCGAAGTGTAGCACCTTCAGCGTCTGCTGTGCATGCAGGCCCGATGCCGGCTGAGCAGATCGTCTTCAGGTGATGTGAAAAGCACACAAACACGACCGTGACCAATCCAAACGCTGCTTCCCTGCAGACAGCATGCCATGCAGGGAACCAGCAGCAGAAGGAATGTATGAACCCTCCTCCCCACTCCTCCTGTTTTTATAAGGCTATATTCAAGTTTTGCTAAATTTTTCGTAAAGTTCGTATTATTGTAAAGCATTTTGGATCCGTGTCTGATGAAAACGTGAGCTGCCTTCAGAGATGTTTGCATCCTCTGCTGTTTTTTTTTTTTTTGTCTTTCAAACACTGAGGCAGGTGCATGATGTGTTTGTTGTTTTGCATGCAAATCTCCATGCAGGACCTCCTGGTCCCTGTGGCTCCTGGTAGATTTCTTGGTAGTGAGTAAAATGAGGTGTTTCCAGTGACGACGCTGCTCTACTCTCCAGCATGTTCACATGTAAATGAAATGATGTGAGTAGATTAAAGAGCACAAACTAAAATCTTTAGAGTATGGTGATAGATTTTGGCCTCTATGTGTATCAACACCTGTCCTTTCTTTTCACTTCTTTTGACTAAAGTAGCCATGACGACAAATTGGTTCTGAAGTTATTGGGGGAAAAATGCTAAAACAATTTGAATAAGTTCAATAAAAGTTTCAGAAGTAAATTATAATGTCAATGCAAATGTTGGATATCTTAAAAGTTATTTTTTTTTTACATTTATTTTCTTTAATTTTCTGTATTAATTTAGTTTTTTAGGGGGGCTGA